GAAAATGATGTACACTGCGTTAGTTCGCCCAATCGTCGAGTACGTATCCTCTGTATGGTCTCCTTACACAGCAAAGCATCGTAGGCTAATCGAAAATATACAACGACGGGCTACTAAATTTATACTAAACCACCCAGATAGGAAAACCAGCTACACTGCGAGACTGAAAACTCTTAGCCTACTGCCGCTTGAATTCAGAAGAGAAGTCCATGATCTTGTCATTTTATACAAAATTAGGTCAGGTCTTATCAACGCTAGCTTTGACCATCTTCTGCTTCCTGCTAACCATACATACGCAACCCGACGTCATCATCCTGCAAACATCCGCCCTTTATTTACTCATACTCAGCGGTATTTTACAAACTCTTTCTTTCCTCGCACAATTAAATTATGGAACGATTTACCAAGCAACATTAAGCAAGCAACCTCTTTACATAACTTTAAAGCCTTAGTTAAGCGGTTTCATACAGAAAAGCTCACGCTTTATAGTCCGCCCTAACTAAGTGTCGCAGTTGGTCGGCAAATTATTTTATTCTATAGACAAAGTACATAAGTGCATATGTAACCTATATTTTTCTATTCTTTGTATTTTGTAAGGGGACAAAATGTCAATAGGGGCTCGCCCTGTATTTTTCTCCTGCCATTATATTTTTGTTTATTTGTTGCATGTCTCTGTTCATGTATTTACTTGTAAATTGTATTTTTCAGTGGCAAATCTCGGTAAACTAAACTAAACTAAACATACCTGCATGGCCCGTGCGACAAAATAACTGCACGGGATTGGCAAAGTTTCAATCACAGCAAATTATACAAAAAAATCTAGAAAGATTTAAGCTTACATCTCGTTTAACGTTTAAAGCGACACATATCAACACCTGCAACCATCCTGTTTTATACGAACCTCACAAACTTTTAAACATATTCTCTTGTGATACCTGCGGAAGTATTCAGTATAGTTTCTGGTGAGATTTTTGTGGACAATCTGATTGATTTCTATTACATTCTGTGCTGAGACTGAAACTTTTTTCCAAGACATCATTCGCCAATTTATTATTCACTTAACTTTAATGATGATAAATAAATTTTACTTTGCGGCTGCAACTGCTGACGGTATTTTCATTTGGCACCAATTCAACCCTTATGGTAAATTAAGTTGTCTGAAGAGACTCTCTTCAGAAATGAAGAGGACGACATAGACACAGTTTGATTCTCCATAAAAGACAAACTTTGTTTAATTTTAGTTATTGCAAGATGTAACAATTACTTCTCCAAAAAGGAACTGGAAGGATCTGTACTGAAATACCAAAAGAAAATGATGTACATGTCTCTATTTTTAAATTTCTAATGACCAAAAAATTTTTGATCAACCACTCTGGCTTTCTGTTCAATCAAAACTTATCCTTGGCGTGACAAATGACCTGCTTATAAACAAAAATTATTTGCAGTCTAGCTTGTATAAAGAGAAAAAAAAACATTTTATTACTGATTTTGGAAGTTCAGTGATGGCTTTCACTGCTCGTGTAGGAATTATGATCAGAGGTGGTTGGTCCTGGGAGATATTTGGCCTTAAAATTCCACTATTTTTGGACTTTGTCTAAACCAGAGAAAGTTGTCTTCATTTAAGAAAGAGGTAAGGGAAAAATGAAATGAGAAAGTTAAAACAGTTCGATGTTATTGACGTCTGATAGATTTAGAACACAACCCAGTTGATTAAATTTACAGAGGGCTCTAATCTATTCAGTTCGTCACAGCAGCAATGCAAAGTTAACTAAGTAATTATGGAAAAAATGTAGGAAATGGCAGTTTTCCCAGAGAAACCCTTAATCTCCCTGGGAATTAGATAATTTGACTCATTACTTTCAAACATTAAATTTTGTTAAATCATGATATTTAGCATTTGAGCCAAGTTTGAGCCTTTTTGGGCATTGGATTGCTGCCTGCCCAGTTTTCTTGTGGACATGCTCTCAAATGAACATAAAATTGCTCGCGAATGTAAGCCACAGATGTTGCTTGTTTGACAAAAAACAACTGAGTTATCCTAAATGTTGGGCCTGTCAGCCTCTTTGCAGACATACAGTATAAATGGGCTGCTATTAGACTTATTATCTTTTTTCACTGACACTTAGCATGGTCTACTGCTTTCATAAATAAAAAACTTCAGGTTGTAAGACAAATGACAAAATCATTTATTCAGGGTTATAAGATGGTTGAAGTATGGAACAGTTAACTTTTCAATTCAAAATATTCTATGCTGCTGCATTTTTTAATTGTTTGTGCTCACTCCAGTTGACATAAGTTTGGACTGAAGCAGGAAATTGTTTTTTCCCTCGAGTGGCAACTAGTGGTGGCAACTGTTTGTTCAATTCTGCATAAAATTCAAACTCAACTGAATTTTGCTTTAAACATGGAAATAAATTTTTTCATCTTCCTGGACTGGCTTCTCATGCAGTAAAAACCAATCCCTGGCCAGGGTAGATAGCAAATCAATACTTTTAAAGGTAGATGAATTTCTGACCTACACTGTAACTCTCACTTTATGGTTTTAAAACTCAATCACATTAATTTTTATCTAGCATTGTTTACAGACTAGTAAACAACATTCTTATGTCACTGCTTCCTTACAAGAGCATGGCCAACAGCACCCAAAACCTTAGAAATTAAGATAAAACTTCAAACAAAACTCTCCACATGTAACAACTTACCTAAAACTGTAACATTTACTTGATGATCAGCAATAAGAGTTGCACCAAATTGTACGCGGTACTCAATCCTGTATGTTCCTTCATCTTCTGTCGTGACATTCTTGATGAGTAATGTGGCTTGATCACTTCTGACAATCTCAATATGTGGGGCTTCGTGTTCAGTGTAACTAGGTATCCCAACGAGATTTAAAAAGGTTGTGGAAGCAATCACATCATAATCTGAACTTTTCTGATTAAACTTTTTCCACTGAATAAGATAAAATGTCTGACTCTTATTCTGTTCATCAGCAGTTAGAGTGAACTTCCATGTGAGTGACACGTCTTCTCCTTTTGTTACAAATGTTACATTGGCTGGTTGCACAGTCCAGGTGAATGATTCTGCAAGTCAAAAAAAAAAAAGCATTTTCTTATAATTCAATCAAAATAATCTTAACCTCACCATGTGTCTTTTCACAAAACTCTTGTTTGAGTAATTTTTTTTGCTTTGCATACTTACATTGATCCTTGGTGACAATAAATCATATACTTTAGGTTTTTCTTTTTCAATGTTTTTTTTTTACACTGAGGATCATTTTTCAGTTTGGAATCTTTTCCTTCACCTGTAAATATGCAACATTAAAAGGCGGCTCAGTGCAAAATTCCAACTTAATCCCCATTTTCATTCAGTATCATGATCTTCTTATAGTTTTGGCTGTGCGCAAGCTGTCAATATTTCGTGGTATTGCCGACTCACTTTTGCGGCCTGTGATTGGTTCTAATTCTGAAATTGACATCATTGCACTAAATTGGGTTGCTGATGTACACAAACAAATTACCGCCGCATTAAAATGATTGTACAAAATATTTCACTTCAAGTTCTATTTATTGAAAATTCAACTTTTACAGTCATAAACATTGTAATAATGTGACAAAGTCACTTGCCAGTTAGAAAATGAATGTTAATCTGGCAAGAATTCAAAGTGCTATTATTAATCAAACTTTCGAAGAACTGTTGCTGATTCAAAGTGGAAGCATTTACGGTGGTGGGCTTCTTTTTTGTAGACTGCAGTTGAAGATCTTGCTCGTGTTGCCAGTCTGTCAAACATTTCTTTCTGTGTTTGTATTGAATTGTGGCTGTAGGACTGGATGGAAATGGGATTAGCATGGCCAGTGAGCTCCGAAATTGCCAGAGGATCAAAATGACCACAAAGACTCTGTATGGCCGTTTTCCTATCTGACATAATTATTGGTAAAGTTACCTTCCTTTTTGATCTCTGCTTTCTCTGCCATTCATTTCGTTATGTTTGCCAGGCCGTCCCTCTTCATGGGCAGCTTCTTGTACCAGATGTTTTGCACTGTATCTATAACCCATTTTTGGTCATAAATTTCTGTACCCACCCAACAATTGCTTTTAAAGTTGGAGGCAGTTCAATTTTGTTGCATTTCTTCTCTTCACGAGGAGAACTTGCTTTCTTTCTTATCACTATCCTCAATACACAAATATCATAGGTCAATGCATGGACCCACTACCACAAGACTTCTAAAAGGCAGCCTCTCTAAAAGCAGTCTGGTGCATTTTGGTTAAAAAAATCCATTCCTTTCAAGCTTTGCCCATGAATCACTCAGACATATTTCAATTCTGACCAGCTGATCAATTTCTGTGTAGTCTAGGTCTTCATGGTGTTGTTAAGAACCAAGAAAAAGTTTCTTATTTCTTATTTATTACTCATACCTATACATGTAAATTATGTAAATTTTTATGTCACATTTGCATTTAAACGAGCTATCGCTCATATGTGATATGTGGTTAAATAAAGTTACTTACTTAAAGTTACTTAACTCTCAGACTTATGAAACTGTCATGAGTACAAAACAAGTATAATTATACCAAATGAACAATGCTTCTTTTTGTTGTTTGAAACATACAACCCTTCATCAGGTTGTTAGAAACAAACAATACTTTTAGAATCCCTACTCTCAAACACATTTCAGTTCCCAGCATATGATTTCTGTGTAGTCAAAGTCTTCATGGAGTTGTTAGAAACCAACACTGCTTGAGTGATAAAGTTTCACAAGTTTACGAAATGTCTGAGAAACAATAAAATGAGTAGACACAAAACAAATAATGCTTCATTTTGTTGTTAAAACAAAGGATGCTTTAAAAGTCATCTGTGGAACTTATTTCTATTCAATTCATTATGGTGTTTTCAGAAACAAAGAGCACTTTAGTGATTGGGACTTTTCAACTTTCTTGCCTATTAACAGTCTGTAAGTGTGATCTGATCCTTTAAGTATTTGTTTCTTTGGTAGTCCCACGCAACCAATGTAACAAAGGATGCATGCCTGAATACCTTTCAGGCCTCCCAATCTGCCATGGCACACTTGACGCTCCTCAGAAAGAAACACAAGTGTGGAAGAAATTCTCTGTGAGTTCAGCCATCTAACATTTCAAGATCGATTTTACTGATAGGAAAATAAAATAATGCCAGATATCACAGACATTTGTAGCATTTGCGAGGCAGATGTTTATTCTACTACACATTATAATTGGAATACAGGTAATCCTCAGGTGAACTCTACGGCTTTCATAAATACAGGCAGATGATGACTGCTCGTTCGAATCCTGAAGAAAGGGAATACACAAATTATTTCGTATACTTTTTGGACATTCGAGCCACAGAAGTGAATGTATACAACTTTATATGTGTGTATTCAACTTTATATGCATACCCTGTTTCTGCAAGGTTCATTGCTTGTTCCACATTTACATTCATCTGTACATGCACAGCACGTTTCTCCCTTTGAACGAGCACCCACGAGAACTACTTTCTTTGCACTTCGTCGTACAAGCACTTTTACATTTACAAAAGATCAGCAAAGGTTCCTCATTAAAAAAAAAAGTTCGCTTTCTTGAGCATTTGCTTTGGATAAACTTGATTTAAATGCAAAAATTAATATGTGCAGAATTCTTCAACTCACTAACACTTCCATAATGGCCGTCGAGCGTGACAAGTCTCGGAGAGAGTGTATGCTACTGCACATGTCAACCCGTGACAGTGTCCCTTTAAAGGGTAAGTATGGTCTAGAAAAATTTTATCTCAATTGGAAGACTTTTTCCTCAGGAGTTCGAAAATAACTGCCATTTTGTCTAGTTTGCTTTGCCTTAACGACAAGAGCGCTTCGAAGTTGCCCATTTTTACAACTTTCGTGGTTAGAAAAATGCCATCTTGGATATTATGTCATTGTGACGTAGTAATAGTCAACTGTCCTGTTGTTGAATGTCAAAATACATACTAAAATTCAAAAGGAAAAGGTGTAAGCCTCTACAAACTACCAGAAAGTGAAATATTAAAGAAAAGTTAGCCAGCAAAAATGACCCGCGATGACAACTTGCTGAACCCTGTAAAACCTCAGAACTTCCAGAACAAAGACTTCCAGTAAGATATACAGGCATGTAAGTTGTGACCTCTCACACGAAAACGTTCCTAATGGTAGCCGT